ACCGGTAATGCACCTTTAAGTACGTCGGGAGCCATTACAAGCCACACACATACACACACACACACACACACACACACACACACAACACAAGCAACCGTAGGCGAGCTTACATGTACACGACACACGCCAGGTGAAGGCACATGCACCCAGACACCTGTCTTTGTGGGCCAATAGAAGAATGCATTCCATTTACTGTCACACGTTTGTTTTTTTCACCCAACACAAAACACATGGTCAACATTGAAGTAACACATTAAATATATCATATATAAGCAACATAAACATGCATATGCAGATGACAAATAAACGTGCACTTTCTATAAGTACACTTATGATGATGGAATATTAATTGCATTCATTTTTACATAACCCTCTCTCTGTACACTCGCCTGGACACAAGCTTCCCAAGCAGTGAAGGATAGGAGACAGGAGGAGGGATCAAGGGAAATAGCAAAGGTTCTCAAGTGCTCTTCACTTGTACCATACTATCTTTTAAATTGGATTCAGCTAAGAAAAGTATAGGTGAGGAAAAAATAATACAGTCTATGAAGAGGCTGAGGGACGGAGAGATCAGGGAGCCCTCTGCTTGTGCTATAGCTTTTGGTATAGAGCAAGCTAGTGACATTTCCAATGTGCTGCTTCTGGCTACCAAGCTAACCGGCAAATCACACAGGGTACAAATCTGACCAACCTGATGGGAAGATGGCGTCCTACGACACAAAAAGTCACAATTTGCTTTCTGTTCTATAATTCCAGTATTATGCTTGGTTTTCTGCACTTGTTGACAAAGGTTGTGGCCGAGGTGGTCCAAAGATCACGATCACGAGTTTTATAATAAGAATTGGCAGATACATGGAAGCTAATCACTTAACTTATTGTTAAGCTCGGAATGGATTTTTAAAGGTTTAGGAATTGATTTGCATTGCTGCTCAAAAAATTAGTTTGCATAAAGCAATAATAAAGCAATGTCAATTTTACAAAATAATCGCAAAGAACCGATAGGAGTATTGATACGGAGAAAAACTGATATTCTGTACTATCTATTAAATGTGGATTCCCGTTCTATTATACTTTTTATTATTCTGTGTTCCAGGGTAGGAAATTTACATATTATTTCGGGGGGGAATTTCTGCCCCCACTGACTGAAAACCAGGGGCATTTTATGAGAAATTGGGGGCATTTTTTTCAGAAATCAGGAATCAGGAAACATTTATTGCCAAAATATGTCAGACATACAAGGAATTTGTCTTGAAACTTATAATAACATTTAACCTTTGTTAAAAATAATAAATATATTTATCATTTGTTAAAAGTAATAAATATACTTATTTGGGCTACCTATATATGCATTTATCATCAAATGGCAGTAATGAGACTATTAGGCAGTTAGCAGACAGATTCAAAGTTTTTCTTTGATTTTTTTTTAACCAAAATGAACAGAAAACATAAATCAGAGTTATTCAATTTTATTTTTATTTCTTTGTATTTTCTCGTGTTAAGCAATGTGAAACACCTTGACCATTCTGCAGAACAATGTCTTTGCATCCGATTCACAGCTTCCACAGTTGTCTCTCTGTTGGAGAGACAACTGGAGCTGATTAATCCATGCTTCTGTAAAAACAAAGAACAATACATTTAAACCTTAAACCGTCAACTACAGTCTCAACTAATTCTATTATTTCAAAATAAAGCATTTTAACTGGCCAATGTGTCAATGAGTGTTCACGAATGGGTCCGAGCTGGATTACTTTGAACAAACATGTGTTGCTTTTCTATTGTCACTGTGGCTTCTCTTTAAAAGTAACATCATCCTGCCACCTGTACTAATGTTGAGTCTTTCTAGTCTGTTCAGTTGTTGGATGGGGTGCAAAATGTTTGGACAGGGCCTGGTTCTCGGCCTTAAGGAAGAATCAATGGACCATTATGTGCGTTACTATCTATCGGCTTCAATAGATGTTAAAATGATGTTTGCACATTTACCGAATAAATGACGACATACATTATATATGTATAATATAAAACAGTTGATTGAAAACAGTTGATTCTGCTCGTTGTGGTTATTTTTAGCAAATGCTTGTTCATCTACACAGTAGCTCCCAAAGTCTCATAGATAATGTTGGAAGACACAACACTTGTGATGGACAATCATTACGCTAACTGAAGATGTCCGGTTGAGGTCTTCCAGACCTCCAGCTAACCTTATTCAAGGTTTCCGTGAATGTGCTTGTACATCCATATGTGGTGTGCGTGGGTATTTTGCCCGTGGAGAGTGTTGGGGTGGATCAAAAGCGCCTTGAGATGTGTTTTGGGTGGCCATGACAGATCAGTGAGCGACAATCCGTAAAGTGGCCCCTGAGGAGCCCCACGGATGACCTCGCATCTGACCTGAATGCCACCCCCTAATCCAGTGTGTCACCTCGTACAACTGGGCCCTTCACCTCGCGGTGGAGAGATTAATCAAAGAGAAAAGGGGCCTCTAGCTGCTCTGTCTCTGCAAGAAAACACAGCAGTGCAAAGTGAAGAGATGACCTTGTAAGAAGTAGCAGATGAGATCAGATGGTGAGATGACAGGTCAAAGAAAACTGGTGGAGGTAGAGGTAGAAAAAAAAATAGGAGGGCCGAGAACTAGAGAGATTAGCAGAGGGACAGAAGTGGGGCAGAGAGGAGGCCGTCGGGGCAAACAGTGAAGAGCCATGTAGTGTGGAGAGTGGGGACCGAGAAGGATTAAGTAGTCATGCTGGGCTTCTTTCTGTGTCGTGTGTATGTGAGTGTGTAGTTGAGCAACAGAGAGGCCACAATGGAGTTGTTTAGATGTCAGCAGACACAGTTCACACACCGACGATGAACACACAAACATATATTTCTATTCGTACGGGAAATGTTCCACTGATTATATCACTTCCTGACTGAATAGAACACTTTGCAGTTCACCTGTCCTGAGCAAGAAGAAAGTGTCACCATCACCCAAACCCAAATTAAGCTCTAAATTCTAGGATGTGAACAGTGAATTCTCAAAGAATTGTGCGGTTGTGTGTCACCGCTTTAAGCCCCGCTGAAAACCAGGTCATTGGCTTGGGTATATTTCGGTCTAAAAACACCGGATTAAACTTATATTTTTATTTAAAACAGCAGGGGTAAGGAATTTATGATTGATATGATTCAGCTGCTCGGTGTCTGGTTTCCAATAAATTCGGCAACGTTTGTCAAAGGGAAATGTTACGAATATTGCCGGAATCACTGTGGAAAACTCACTGTTTTATTGTCCTTGTTAGCTGCATGCTTTGACCGAAAAATATAACTATATTTGGATTGCGTACGCACAACTCTTTGCACTAATTTGCATCTCATATTTTTTAACTCTTAATACTTTGTTGAAGTTGTGTTTGGAGCATTATGTGTTAGGAACCCTAACCCTTAACAGTTTTCCCCCAGTCTGTGCTTTTGTTTTGCTTGTTTGGTTTTTCCACCTATAGTTTCCAGCCGTGTGTTCCGCCTCCGGCCCCGCCCCTCTCCCACGTGCCCAGCTGTGGCTCATTCCGGGGATCACTGGTGACGAGCATAAAGGCTCCTGCATTCAGAGGCTCGTCGTCAGTCCGTCCCAGTACCCAGGCTGGTCTCAGGTGCCGTTGAGACTGAGATATAGCAGTGTTTCATGTTTTTTGTATCAGACCCTCGGAGTACCACAGAGTACACGTGACATGTTTTTGAGTTGGACTGTGAGTATGGTGTCGGGCCTCGGGTTTCCAAACCAGACCCTGCTTTATCCGCCCCAGACCGCCAGGCGTCGGTGGAGTTTCCCTCCCGACTCCAGTTGAGCCAGAGGAGCGCTTTCTGTTTCCCTTATTCACCTTGTTTGTTTTTTTGTGGAAAATAAAATCATGGGTCCACCAAATACACCGCCGTTAACATTATGTGGCCGAGTTATGGCGTTTCAACAGGGTTATTTAGGTTATTTAGGCTTAAAGTATATGTATTTGTTATTAAATAGCAGCAATAAGACTATTCAGACAGTAGTCTGTTTGTTTTCTTAGATTTTTTCAACCAAAACAAAGGATAATTTAGACCTATTCAATTTTATTATTATTTATTTTTATTTTCTTGTGTTTAGCAATATGTTAAGCAATGTCTTGCTGTGTGACCATTCTGCATCCGATTCACAACACATTGAAACCTATGAGGAGAGGAAACATCTCTCACTGACTGCACTCTAACTCTAATGTTAGCTAGCTAGCCTTCATAGCTAGTTAAATAGCTAACGTTAGCTAGATCTTATTAGCTAACGACCGTGACAGTGTCTCTTGACCCGTAGTTTTTAGCTAACTATCCGGTAAAACTAAATAAAAATAGTTTTCAGGTGATTTAACGGTGTTGAAGTAGGCGTTAGCTCCTTACCTTTCGAGCCAAATACTGTTTTAATTACGAAAGTACAATTTCGTAACCGGTGAATTAGCCGTGTGCTGTTTTTCGCGGAGATTAAACCCATTAAAGCGTCGCAAAAGTTACCATCGATGCTGTCAACATATCCAAGTCCCTTGTTCTGGCTTATCTGGTTCTAACACCTAAAATAGTATAATAAAAGCCCTTTTCATTTCAGTGTATAACACCACCAGCGGAACATTGTGTTAAGCTCTCGTGAATGACACCAGTAAATGCTTGGGAACTATGCAAATATACATTTTGTTTATAACAAATACTATCAAATACTACTAAACATGGTTTTGAGTTATTACAATTCAAATATTCAATAAATATTCATTTTAACTTTAAAAAATCAGGACATAACAAAACCTCCTCTTTGTCATCCATCCCTTGTCCCAGCCAAACACACAGTGTGGTACCACGAGTGGCATCACACTGGACCCGCGACACCAATCTCTGAGCCCTCAGGTCAGCTTCCCTGCACCTGTCTGGAGGATGGGAAACAACAGAAAAAGCATACCATCACTAGCATCCATCTTTTGTCTACTCTTAAATGTGTCACAAACATGTGTTTTTTTCAGGCTATATGAAGCAGTTACAATGGGAGGGAGAGGTCGCGGGGCCCCTCAGCCGGCAGGCCCCCCTGCAGTGATGTGCAGCTGCTAGGAGGCACAAGAGGGAGCGGGATGAGGGACCAGCGATGGAGTGTCCGGAGCTGGCAGCTGATGCGGCCCTGATGGAAAGCGGTCCTCTGCGGTTGGGGCGGGAGCCGCCAGGCAGGCTGGAGGAACTGGTTGCTGAGCTACCATCTAGTGCCCGCTGCTGCTGCTGCTCTCGGTCTCTTCTGGCCAGAGCTTGGGCCTCTGTGGGGGCTACAAGGGTCAAGAGCAGGAGTAGATGGAGGGTGGTTATGAAGGATGGGGATAGGGGCTGGGGAGTGAAAGTGAAAGTGATGCAGAGAATAATTTCACCACAGGGATTAATAAACATCTTGTGGGATACGCACCTTGAAATTGCCGGTACAGATGGTTTATATCGCCCCCTCTTTGGCTTCAAATTAGCGGCAGCTCTGCAACCGGACGTCTTCTCCGTAAATGCCCCAGGAGAACAGGCCTCACACCGGCCAGTGGTTCACTGAGCGCAACCAGCTGATCGCAAGAATAAACCAGGCCAGTAGTCTACCTAACAGAACATGTCCCCTTATTGTAAATGATTTACTTTTGTTTTATTTTAAATAGCGTCATGGAGCCAGAATAGAGTCTTTTAAACACTGTAACATTTTGCATTTCATGTTCAAGTTAAAATAAAAACTTTAAGCTACTGGGACAAACTGTTTGTGATCAGTGGAAGCGACCGACTGAACTCTCATGTATAAGATAAGGTTGGATAAGATACTATAAGATGATAAGATTTATTAGTCCCACGACGAGGAAATACCCTGGAGTGTAAAGAAGTATGAATACACGTTGATTGGTGGAGTTTCAGCCCTGGTGAGCTCGTTATTAGACATCATATCGATTGTCTTATAAAAAATAGAAATATTTGTATTATTGAAATCATCTTTTTTTTCCTCTTAGTACTGTTTTATAGTATGGTATTTTATTATGGTAATAATGTATACACTTATGCAAGTTTATCTTCTTTGACAACGGTATATCCACAATACTATGCTGTCTTTTGTTTTGTTGCAGTTGGCATGCTATATATTATTCTTTCTTCTACAAAGTAGCATTGAACACAGAGAAGACACATTTTGTGTGATTATTGCCGGATACACAATGTGCTGTTTGTTTTCATTTTATTGAATTTGTTAAATGGTTTATTTTTTTCCCTCTTTGTATGCGGAGAACAAAGTGGGAAACCATGTACACATAAGCATATGTCACCAATAAATCCGATTCAGATTCTAATGATGATTTGGGATTGCAACATGAATTATGAGGTTGTATTAAATGAAATATAATCAAGGCACGTCTTTGTTTTGGCAGAGGAGGCCAGTTGTAAGATTACAGCCTACTGGAGTTAGGAGCTGACTGGAAGTGTGTGTGTGTGTGTGTGTGTGTGTGTGTGTGTGTGTGTTGGGTCCATCTAATTCACACTAACAAGCAACACATTTGATGGGGCCGAGGTGTGACTGGTGTGCAGGTATCTTTAAATGGGTTACAATGGTTACTCTCTATATGCACACACACACTCAGAACTAACTATAAGAGGAAGCATTCTCAACCTCTGAGGGGACGCAACATACATGCACTCATATCAACACATGCACGCACACATGTAGATGTACAATTCCCCAACTACACAAGAATATGCACTCTACATTTCCTCACATGCACAATACTCCGGTCTCGGACACCAAAATAACTTCGGCACTAAGAGACGCACACACAGACACATGGCCACACACCGCTGTGACCCCAGAGAGCAGGCCAGCTGTGTGTGTTCTGGAGCAGTAACCCCGCGTTAATTATAAATCAATGGGCCAACTGCAAACGCACACAGAGTGCATCTCCGGCACACATGACTTCTCCCATTCATGTCAACATCCAGAGGGTTGAAAAGCCGTTTAAAGCATCACGGCCCCAACAATATTCATGGCTGATTGTAACAGATGGTAGACACGCACGGCAAAACACACGGCACTGATACCGGACAGTGATACAAACACGCGCTGAGAGAGCAGGGTTAGTGCCACGTGATGACCGCAGCTTACACAAAGCATTTTTATTCTAGTTACTATCTTGTTACATGTTTTTATCAATACAACACAATTATGTCCAAACTTCCAATAGGATTTTTTCAAAAATGTCGTCACTCTAAAGGGTAGAAGTCAAAATTATCCTTGCAAAGAAAGCTGTTCAAGTAAATGCTGAGAAACATTCTCTCACACACATTCACAGCAAAGCGCTGTGCAGCAGGCGCTGGCACAGAGACAGCGGAGGAAACAGCAGTAAATGATAAGTAACACCTACGTTGTTTCCAATCATAAAGTTATGTGTATTCATTATCATATGCTGAAAATCAATTGAAGCCCAAGGGAAAACATAATTGTGGACAATAATTGATTGTGGAATAATGCTTAAGAGATGAGTAATAACAGCGTAATAAAAGTTATTCCCGTCATTTTTGCTTTTAGTTTAATATTTTGTATTGATTCTGATGATTTTATCCTATGGGAGCAGTATGTCAAACAGTACTTGATCGTATCTCAACGAACACGGTTGTGATTGTCATAGTTAAATATAAAGTGGGTCATTTTCAACTACAGCTGTCAAAGTATGCAGAGCGTCCTCGTGTCAAACGCTGAACACGCATGCGAACACTGACGCATCAATCATGCATATTGCAACATGCATGCAGACGCTCTCACTGTGACCTGAGCATATGCAGCATGTTTCAAAAAGCAACATTAGACATCGGCGGAGACAAGTGGGGGGGGGCAGTGGTGGGTGGATGGAAGTGATGAGAGGAAGAGCGATCAAGTGTGCTCCACAAATTATGTATAACTACTTGTTTAAATAGGGGTCTATATCACTAACTGCAGTCTGTCACAACTGTGAAGGCTCAAAAAGAGGGTAAGACTGAGGCAAACGCCATGTGGGTTGTGTGATGGTGGAAGACAGGGTGAGAGAGAAACAGGGTGAGGAAATATAATAATAACTTGATTTAAGTGGAAGGGCATTGTTTTGGTTAATAGCTAAAGAAATTAAATCATAGACATCAATGGAAGCTTGTCCATGCATTTATCTCCTCAAGACTGGACTACTGGAATTCACTCTTCACTGGAATCACTTGCAAGAATATCCTGAAGCTACAATACATCCAACACAGCGTTGCCAGGATGAGATATGAGCACATAACACCCGTCCTACACCCACTATACTACACTGGCTGCCTAAACTTCTACTACTCCCTCATGAATGCATACACGCACCTCACTATCTGCAAAAACGACCTACCCCCCAAACTTCCACCCTCAGATCTGCAAGCAGCTTTCTCCTCCGAGTCCCCAACACGGTGGCTCCGCCCCACGGAGCCACCGCTCGGCAGCGCCACGCAAATGGAACAGTGTCCCTGACCACCTGAGGGCAGCACGGTCACTGGACTCTGGCCTAGAAAACTACTTATTCAGGAAGGGGTTTGAGTTTTTAACAAGTTTTTCTGTCTCCGTCGCACTGAGATCTGTTGATGAAGAGAACATGTAAAATGTATTATTATTAAGATAATTCACCAAAAAATAAATAACGGGGCACCACCCTAAAAAGGGACTAATAAACAAGCTATAAATCAAGTCTCCTAATTGATATTCACTCATTAAGAGCAAGGAATTGAAGGTTTCACTTCGTACACTGATGTTTCCAGCCACCATCACAGTACAAATATGCACAAAGAAACTTTATTTTGGTGTTGAGCTGCTTGGGCGTGGAGAGGCCTAACTGCTGAAAGATGGAGAGAATTAATCCCATCATCAACGCCAGTCATTTGGAAAGGTTGATTTTCGGGGGCGCTGTCGTCTTAAACTCAAATCATTTTGGAAAGTTGGTTTGAAGAAGATACTGTCTTGAAAGCTTGAGGGGGCACACTCACATTCCACAGCAGAGGGATACCTGTGGTTTTGGAGTTTACATGTGTGAGCCCGGTCGTCTATAAAGGGCATTCCCACATAACAAAACTGCATTGTCAAATCTGTTTTGAGGGAAATGTATTTATTTTTTTATTTTTTGAACAATTCACAAATACTAAAGTCAATGTCAACTAACTTCAATAAATATCCGTAGCTTACTGTAAATATTGGGAAAACATACACTGTAAAATCCAATTAGTAAACCTTACTTAAAAAAAGCATGTAAACCGATTGCCTTAAAAAAAGGAAGTGAAGAACATTTTTACATTCAAGTAAAGTTAAATATGTATTATACGTTGTACTAACACGCTTATTTAGTGTAGTATACTTACACTTGAGTTGAAGTAACTAAGAAATACTCAGTCAGGAGTACTTTCTAACTAGTATAGCCTACTTAAAATGCCCATTTCAAACAACTTAATTATTTCAAGTAAAGTATACTTTTGTGTGCATTACAAAACCACATTTATTTAAGTTGGGCTAACTAATGTTACGCGTTCTGCAACTAGAAATATATCAGTATTATCTACTTGAACAGAAAAGTAATTTATTTGTTTAAACCATGCAAACCGATTGCCTTAAAGCAACCAAGTTCACGTTACTCGTGTGACTTAAGTGCTTCAAACATCCTATACAATAATAAAAAACGGGTAATGTTCTCTATTAAATCCCAATTACAGTTATACATAATAAATTAAAGTAGAAACAACGTTCAATTATATGATATGCTTTTATTTTTTCTTACTTCCATAACAACCAGCATTGGTTCTTTTTAAATTGAATGCAACAACAAACCAGTTTTAGTTACTCAGAAGACAAGGGTGCATCTTTTGAACAGTTGAGGTAGCAGTATAGAAGGAGCCTCAGTGTAGCACATATTTTGGCAAGACGTTGAGATTTAAAGTGCTGAAAACCGGATTGTTCCTAAAAAGTCAGCATTGCCTAATATCACTACATCTCAAAAAGGGCACACAGCACTTACGTGTTTAAAATTGTATTGTGCTGGTTTAAATCACTTTTAAGAGACAGTGTGCAACTATTGTCATAGAAAATACGGTATCTAATCACCATATAAACGACAATATTAAAAAAAATGCCAGGCGTTACTGAATTATTGGGCAATACCAACATTTTGAACAAAAACATCCAACAACATACTTTTGGATTTTGGCTCCAATACATTTTGAATATTTATTAAAACTTATAATTTGGTAATAAAATAGACAAGTCCTGTAAGTTTTACAATAACAATCTTAAACACCAAATGCTCACTTCCACAGGAATATTGTGAACAATGTAGTATTTTTTCCTACATTAACACCAATAGCAAGCCGTGAAAAGATGAATGGCAGGCAATCGATCTCACACTTGTATTTTAAACATACACCGGCAGGTCTAGACAGACCTACTGATGAAAATTTGAAAAGAGTCCCTTAATGTGAGGTCGCAACCCCAGAGTGGCGGCAGGAGGCCGCAAGGGGGCGCCGAAGAACGCGTCCTCCGGAGCCAATGACCAGAATTCTAAACACCTGCGAGGGAGGACACGACCTCCGGAGCCAATCACCGAAATTTGGAACACCCACGAGAGAGGAGACCTATAAGAGCAGACTGACGCAGCGAGCACAGTGTGAGGTATTGCAAGTACGCTTCTCTGCTGAACCCCGTTGGTTCTCTGCCTGTATTCCTGTAGAAACCGTGAGCTTCCGTGAATCGACCTTCCGCCTTCCCTCGACTACGAACCTGCTTACTCCCTGGATCAGATCCGTCTCTTGCCTTCCAGTGTCTCCGAACCACTGCCTGTCCCCGGATTCTCCGTACTGCCTTATCCCGTGAGACTACAGCTGCCTGTCGTCCCAAATAAACATTGAGAGCTCTTGGGTCTAAGTATCTCCTGAGTCCATTCATTACACTTAATTTAGCTAACATAACAAAAAAAAACTAAAACTAAACTATTGTGATCAACAAGTGAGATCCAATGTCGAACGTCACTCATGCGGCCATTTATATTTTAACCCAACAGGAGAATTTTAAGGGTTTGAAGTTTTGGTGTAAGTTTGTCCTGTCCCCAGCCAACCATCGCTTTTTGAATGTGTTTTTCATGGCTTTAGGGTAGTCCAAGTGTAAGGCATATGATAGCCCAAACAAACAACAGTGCTTACGGTAGGTTTAGGAGATCATCCATAACAATGATGGCAGTAGACGCTGCGTCAAGGTGGAGTCGATTTGGAGAGAGCAGTACATCTTCACCGATAACAGACAGCACCCCAACAGATACTTGTGCCGAGGCATCATCATGGTCACAATCCTGTGTAAGACCAAACAAAAACAAATTGTCACTGC